TAATGAAGTAATGCCTCTAAGCTCAGTGCTACAAATAACATGCTTTGCAGTTGTGGGGATCTAAGGCCATCGCATCATCATCTCAACTTTTAAACGTGATGATGTAAAAAGGTGGTTTAAAGGTGAACTACAGGCACCAAGTGATCACTACAGGCTTTTGGAGGAAAAGGAGCTCTTGTCTGGCTGTGTGTTGTTAATTAAATTGCATTTTACAGTAGCTGTTTTGTCTAGTCGTGTATGCTCTGTACAAATACTTCCTGCATTTTTTGACTTCTGCTGGTCTGTTTTTGTCTATTCCAATAGCAGATCCATTTAATCTTGTCAAACCGTGTCGTGTTGTAGAGACGTAAAAAATCGCTCTCACTAAGAGGCTTTCCGTATCGTCCGTGGCTTGGAGAGGCTGTATAGTCCTGCGTGCCTTTTCTGTGTGTAGCTCTTCACGTGTTAACAGGCTTGTGCTTGTATTTTACTTCACATGCTGTTTTGATGTTTCTTTTCTCCCCTTTTTCATTTATTTTTTATTTTCCTCCCCTTCCTTTTTCTTTATTTTTATTCTCTTTTTTTTTTTCTCTCCCCCTTCTGCTCTCTGGACGCAGCCAAACGCAAAGCTTGGAAACTAAACCGTGTTGGTAGCCTGCGAAATATATACAGCAGCAGCAGCACCAACACCGAAGGTAACAAACCCACCCGTTTTAGATGAACACCTCCCCTCTTACCCCTTTTTTTAACCCGCTTTTCCAAAAATCGTCCTCCTTGCGTCTCTCCCTCACCCAGTGCGGGCATGGAAATCAAATTTGCCCAAAGCATGCGTGCTTTCATCTCGTGTTTGCAGAGTCATTCCGGTTGGTCTTTTCATCTTTTTGTTTGTGCGTTTTATTTTGCCATTCATGTTCCTTTCAGCTTACTTAAATTTTGACCTTTCCCTCTAGTCGTGGAGTGGTGATGTTTAAATTACTTCAGGAACCCATTTTCTTCTTTTATTTATTTTTTTTTTCTATATATATTTTCCCTTTCTACATGTGGGCACTCAATGTAATATTTCCCAAGTTATTACAGTTTTTAAAAGTGTTAGTATCAGGTGTAATGATCTGTAGCCAAATACAATAGTGTGCCGTGACATTTAAGTAACAGTCTTAATTTGTTTTGTGCAAGCCTTCTCCATAATGCTCTTTGCAGCTCTAATCCAAAGGCGAGACAGTGCCGGGTCATTTGCATGTGCTACTCTTGCTTGTAAATTCTGTATATTGTTGTATTTCTAAAGGTCACCTGGTGCCAAAGTTCACAAATTGACTTACATTGCTTTTTTTCCACTGAAGACAGCCGTCATGGCTTTTGTATAATAGCACATTGAATTTTATTCCCCCCCCCCTCCACCTTCATTTGAACAACACAATTATAAACTTCCTTCTTTTTTTTTCTCTTTTTTTTTTTTTTTATTATTACAAATGTCAAAGGTCAGAATTACTTGGAAGCCAGGCAAGGAGAGGAAAAAAACCCCAAACCCCTCTGCCACCATCTCCAGCAGCATGTAAGAGGGATGGTGTAAGAAATAGGAAATGCAAAATAGGTCACAACTCAGTAATCTTGGTATAAGGGGGGGGGGATTTTTTTTTTTTTCTTCACTTAAGTGCGAACCAAATGGGTCAAGTAATCGCAAGCGCATGCCCTAACACTAATTGACTTATTTTGGAATGATTATAACTGTAATATTTTTCTTAATGTCACTGTTTTCTGGGCTGTTGATTTTAGTGATTGCCAAGCGGTGGCATTAAATCTCTTGTAAATTTTAAATTGCATGCTATTTCTGTAAACAAGTCCCTCTGTTCACATCCTGATCATTAACCTTTGGTGATTTATATCACCGTCCTTTTTTTGCACAATTACGGCTGGATTGCTGTCGGATGCCTTGCTCTCACTGCCAAAGAAAGTGTACGTAGGAAACGAAAGTGTGATTTTACTGAAGCTTGTTAAGGAAGCTTTTTTTTTTAATTAGAATTTTGTTTTATTTCTCAGTGTACATGTAAAATTATTACTTTTCAGAGCAATAGTTGCAAAACTGTCTAATTTGATCCCTTTGTTATCTTTTCAAGTATGAAGCGTGACTATGAAATTGGAGAAAATGATTGTCACGCATTAATAATTTTGGGTGGGATTTTTTTTCCAATTTAATATGAAACAAACTAGGTATTTTTTTAATGATTTGTAATTTTGTATGTCTTTGCTGTTTCTCATTTCCCAGCCAGATTTTTCTTCGAATCAGCGTGCGGGCATTTTTGTTGCTACAGATTTACTGCTTGAGAAGCTTGTGATTTTATATCTACCTGTTATTACATTGCAACAGGGAAAGAAGTGTAAAGACTTCCCTTGTGTTTTACAGATAAAGATTTCATTTTTTAGGGCCTGCCTAGTTTGAAGACTCTTTTATCTTACCAATCAAACTAAGGATCAAAGGCACCTTGGATAAGCGTATGGGAACATGTTGCTGATGGCCATGGTCCAAAGAGTTTTGAGAGATATCATCAAAATGAAATTCTGAAATTAGGCAAATGTATCTTTTCTTCTTTTTTTTTTTTTTTTTTGAAGTATTATCCCCACTAAAACCTGAACATTCAGTGTTCTCCATAGCTTTGCATCTTTGAGCTGGTACCTTAAGCCTTTGTGTGAAAGCCGGAACGGTGAGACATGCAAATGTCGAGTTAATGAGCATTGTAAGTATTAAAAGCCACATGTTTAGATAATTATGCCTTCAAAAAAAGAGAACGGTGATAGGAAATGACAGTCCACAATAACAAATCTGCTGTAGTCTTTAGCGCATGCTTGCTCTTACACCTTTTTACAGACCAAAAATATTCCCATCGGGTACATCCCATTTTCGAAAGCTTGATCTAGAACTCCCCGATAATTTTTAACGCTGGTCCTATTATTTAGGTATTCTGTATGCTTCCAGGTGAGAACATCTCCGATTAAAATGGAGAAATCTGCAGCTGAGGTGCTGCAACTGTTTGGTAGATGCTGGGCAGAAGCAGGTATATGGATGGTCCTCAGCGTGGTGGGTCTCGTGCTTACACAAGGGTCACCTTTTGCTGGGCACCGTGCAAAGCTG